CTCCGATTAATGTCTCTGGGTAAGGCCTAAATCTTCCTGTGCCCTCTGCTGCCGAAAGCTTTTTATAACCCAGCCCTTGTGTCCCTGTAACGGGGGCTCTGCCTGGTGAGAGCGGGAGGGCGGCCTCGTGCCCTCCTGGATGGGCGCAGAGGGGCACTGAGCTGGGCCAGTGCTCCTGCCCTCGTCTCGCGCATCACGGCCCGCTCAGACAGGGGAGGGTTTTTTTTCAAGGCAGAAAACCCATTCGAGTAGACTTGGCTTCCCTTGATACATGATTTTGTCCAAAAGAGGTGCTCAAACCGCTTTGCTCTCGGCCTGCTCTCCCGTGGCCTCCTGCTGCCGCTCGCGTTTGGCCGCTCGGTGCCCAGCGCGGCTGCTTCGAGCCGTCCCTCGGCAGCCGCGAGGTGGCAGGGTTGCTCCATCGGCGCCGGGGCGGCAGCGAGGCGGCAATGCAGCTGCCCGCCTGCACCGCCGGGGTACCGCCGTGGGCACGGCGCTGGGGTACGGTCACCGCTGCGCTGTGAAATTTGGAAGGATTTTGCACGTACGTGTCTGATCCGTGCTGCTTATTTTGTCCCGATAATGTTGTTTTGGGTCTTGACTTTTCCCTCGGAAAGGAGAGGGAGAGGCGGGGGGAGATGTGCAGCAGCATCCCGAATTCCTCGCGGGTCCCAGCATCGATCGAGCCCTGCGAAGCACATTGCTGAGGCCGCCCGTGTCCTCGTTTCACCCTGTTCTGTCAGGGAATTGCATCACGGAATATGCAAAGTGCTCAGAGCTCCTGCAGTACCCCAGTAATAGGGGTGAGCTGAGGTTGCAGCAACAGCTCTACCTCTGCATTCCTGTTGCTCGCTCTAGGCTTTAGCTCTCCTCTCTGCTGCAGACCCTTCTTGGTGGGGGATGGCGGGGGTGTCGAGGAGTCTGCTGAGCACTATTTAATATTTGCAGGGTCATAAAGAAGCAATTTGGGGTTTTGAGGGGAATACTCCAGGGAGACCAACTCGGATGGATCGCTTAATCTGATCGAGCAGTGGGGGGTGGGGAGGGGTGCTGCTTTCAGGCATTTCTCTTTTCAGAGTCCTCCCACCCCCCTGAAATTAATGTTCCTGTTTTACATCTCTGAACTCACCACTCGAGGATGCGGGACTGAAAATCAGCAATGCAGTTGTTTGCTCCTATCTCCTTCCTCCTGTCAGCTGAGAGAGCCCCCTTCCTTTGCGTCTCGTTAGGAATCCTTGCAGGAGGAGGATCAGCAGAGGAAAAGGGTGTTTCAGCTGGAAACAAGAGCGCAGAGCTCAGGGCACCATTTTGATCAGAAACTCTTTTGCTTTTACATGATGGTATGGGGAAAACATCTCTCTGCTTCCTTTCCCACTCCCCTTCTCTCTGCTTCCTTTCCCACTCCCCTTCATCTTCCTTCTCTCTTCCTCCACGTTCCTGCTGCACTAGGGGTACTTTGGGCATCCTTTTGCACATCTCACTTCTTGCATTATTCTTTGTTTTAGTGTCTGAGCACTCTGTGCTCCTCTTTGCTGGCACCCATGTGTGTCGGTCCCCTTCACGTGCCCACGTTTGCTGGAGCTCGTGCCCCTCTGCGCGTGCCTGGCTGTAGGATGGGGCACCTTGGACAAGGGTGGAGGGGGGGGTCCTGCTCACCCCCTCCCCCCAACACACGCATGTGGGAGATAAATGCAACCCAGCATGTGGAGGAGTATCAATTTGTGCTTCTCTGCTGCTGCTTTCCCCCTTGTTCCCCATCTGGTTTCTAGTAGCAACAGGAGCCTTCTCCGCAGGAGCCGTGCATCTTCCCGTCACGCCGTGTCTGGACTCGAACGGCGCTGGCTGATGCCAAACACTTTGGTAGCACAGCTCAGCCGGCGGGGGGAAGGGGCTCTCGTGCTCCCTGTGCAGGAGGAGCAGAGCCGGCAGAGCTCTGGTAGAGAGCAGGGCATCGCTCTGCTCTTCCTCATCCCCTCCTGGAGGGCAGCGGGGCACTGCGCAGGCCACGTGTCTGCCCTGGGGCCAGCACAGCTCTGCTCTGGGCACAGGCTCTGCCCGAGCAGCTCGCTGGGCACCCCGCTGAGCGTGACAGAGATAGGCCGGGCACAGAGCAGAGCGCTTGTTCGTCAGGGTGGGCACGAAGCTGGTGGCGATCGCAGGCTCTGCTGGGATGGGAGGCCAAAGAGATGTTTGTGCCATGCTCTTCCCGTTCCCTCCGTGCGAAGGGCAGGGAAGGAGCGGACGGGGGGATTGCTCGGGGGCTCCCACTCCTCTCAGGCGGTGCAAGCGTCAAAGCCAGCAGCCCCCGATGAGCCAAGGAGAACTACTGGCTTCTTCCCTGCCTGCTTGCTGATGGAGAGGAGTGCGATGTTGTACTGCTCGTCCTTCCTCCCTTCCCAAACACCCCTTCGCTATGTGCACAACACTGCTGTTGCTTGTGCAAGTTGTTGACTTGCTGCTTTATTACCTTTTCCTTTCTCTTTTCCTCTCCTCAGAGGTGTCACAGGCCCCACAGTGACACACAAATCCCTCTCCCACCCCTCGCACAGTGCCTGGTCTGCGGGTAGCCCACACTTTGGCTCCGTGGTGTTTTGGCTTTGTATGGGCAAAATTCTGTTAGTTTTGGTCTGGGGGGTCCTTACTAGTGCTCCCCGAGCTGGGCTAGGGGAAGAAAAGCCTTGGTGGTCTTCTGAGGGAAGATGGGAATGAGGAATGTGAACACCCGTCCCTAGGCGGCGGTGGCTGTGGCTGTGCGGCCCGCGCTGGCACCGGCAGCGCTGCCTGTGGCTCTTCCTGGCAGCCTCTGCTTTGGGGGAGCCTCTGAAGGCTGGAAGCGGCTGAAGCGGCGCTTCTGCCTGCGCCCCGCTGCGTTCCTGCCTTCTCGGGGCGGTGTGGGGGCAGGCCGTGGCACCTTTCCCTCAAGGGCTGCTAGGAGTTTTGCTGCACTGGTGCAGAGTGTGGGCCTGCAAACAGGCACCCTCTGGGGGGCTGCTGTGTGCAGGTGTGTGGGAAACAGGAGTAGGAGCTCGGACGAGCAGGAACCTGGTGGAGGGCCCTTGCAGCTGGGCGAGCGCTGACCTAAAACTGCGCCTGTGTTTACTACATGTCCTGCTGCAGCTTGTAGCAGCATTACTGCTTGCGAGGATTTTTCTAGCTATCCCATGTCAGTAGCCCTTGCAAAACCCTCTTTTGCAGCACCTTTGAGGAAGGGAGATGTATTGACTCAGTTTCACAAATGAAGGGCTTGCACTGGTACAAAATGCTGTAATATGGGAAGTCCAGTTTAAGTGCCAGGGGTTCTCTCCTTTCCACTACTGGCAAGCGGGAAATAACCTGGTCCTCTTGTGCTGTGTCTCTTCTGCTCCATCCTGTCTGCTGCTTGTGATAATTTTTGAGCCTGCTGCCTGGTTTGCTGGAATTGAGCTGTGTCCTAGCTGAAGGAAAGGCTGTAAGAAATGTAGTGGCGTTAAGACACCGGAGACTCCATGCAAGATTTCATGTGAAGGTGGAAAGCATGGGAGTAACAAATGCAAGAGTTTAAGTTAAATGAGGCACAAATGTGGGAAATGGACTTCCTCAGTCGCAGGGCTCTCAGCTATTTCCTTCCTTAGGTACTGCATGTGCTCTCTGTCTCATAGGAGTTGGGTGCTCTGCACAGGAGTTTGGTTAAATCTTTCCTTGAGTATTTGCAGAGAATGAAGATCTCAAGTCCTTTGAGATCTTTGCCCAAAGTGGCTGTCCCTGAAGTTCAAGATTCCTCCAAAATAATGAGCATTCTGCCTCTTGGAGCATATGTGCACTTCAGCATTCCTACACACACCCAGTGTGTCCACCGTGCAATCCACTTGGTTCAGTGAAATGAGAATCCCACCTTTTAGCTTGTCTTTCAAATGTATTGTCATCATTACAGTGCATTTAATAATGACCAAGGGCAAAGACAAGGCTTTGAAAGAACAACCCTGATCCTGACTTTGGCCTAGTCCCCTCAAATGGGGGCTGCTTGGTGCGATACAAGGTCGCTTGTACTGAAAGAGATTTGAGTTGCAGACGGCGCTATACAAGATATAACACCTCAGGGCATCTTTACATTGTAAAGGTTAAAAGCTCATGTGGGCCTAATAATACCTGGAGGTGGGAATTGGTCCAAGAAGAAAATTGCTGAGGCATAAAGGGCTGAAAATTTGCCAACATATCTGCAGTGACTGTGCAAGATTGTAGCTTTTGGCAGTATTGGAAGATGTCGATTGTGTGTTTGGGGCTTTTTGTTCTTAGGAAACCAGCTGCTTTGGGGGATAAGAAAAGGAGATGAGATGTAGTTGAAACACCCTTGTCTGAGGTTTTGGTGAAAAGGTTGGTATTAAAAATTTTGAAAGAGTAAATGTGAGCAGATCACGAGAAAGGCTTTCTGCAAAAATGCCTCCAGTTCTGAAATGTGTCGGCATGTTTCAGAGGTACTGAAACTGGCTTGGATATCATGTATAGTTTAGGCTAGTCAAAGAAAATATGTAGTCGTTCATGTGATGACTATTTTTGCTTTGTTTCCTTCTTTTCTTGAGCTGCTGGAAACAGCAGCACTTCACAAGAGTCCTCTGTGAAGGATGTCATGACGATGACTGAAGGACTGGGTTTTAGCATGGGAAGAGAAGGGAGATGAGATAGTCATATGAAATGCCCTTATGCCTTCTCTTTGCTTTTATTTTTCAGTGGACGAATACATTGCCATTGCTAAAGAGAAGCACGGATACAATATGGAGCAGGTAACAATCCTTTGAATACTTAGTTTATTCATTCCTTTACTCCCAACAGGTGTTAAAACATAACTTAAACTGCCTGACTAGAAATGCTCCTTCCTTTCTGTGCTGTCTGCTTTCTTTCTCTCTTACTTTTCCCCCCAACAACTGTTGGTAGTGATGACTAGTGCTCTGGGAATAGAGAGCTTGTCCCAAATTTGTCACCGAGTCACTTCCCCCCATCTCTCCTTTCTCCCAAAAAAACCTTCAGCTTGGCCGTGAGTGTTATGCCTCCTAGAACACCTGAACAGTTTGCGAACCCCATGCAGTTTTAAAAGATTGGCTAGCGAGGGTGACTTGTCTTTGGACAGCTGCTAGCATTGCAGTTTCCGGGTGAGTGCCCCACTTCTGCTTCATGGATGTCTTGGCTGCTATTAGGGAGCTGCTGAAGCATCGCCTGCCTTTGAGGCAAACCAATATCCAAGGCTGTTTACCATAAAACTGTGCTGTAGATCATTTTCCAGTTCATAGATGAGCAGCTCAGATGTCTGTTCACTAGAGATGGGGTGAACAGTAACTTCATTAGCTGCCTCTGAGGTTATTAAGTAACTTTACCTATGGGTAGCCTGTGGGTAGGAATCCTGATTTGAATGGCAGATATTCTACTCTTCTTGGTTTAGGATTCTTTACCCATCTTGCCTTTGTTAACTAGCATCAATTGCAATGTTTATCCAGGGAGGTGCATGGGAAGTATGCAGTCCTGTGCATGGGAATTTTCTCTGAATTCTGAGTAGTGCCTCCTTATGTGCTAATAACTACCTGGAAAGGGAAGGCAGGCATTCCCATTGGCAATGGATGTGCTGTCCCTAAAAAGGGATTCCATAAAAGCTTAAAATTTTATTTGTGAAATGGCTCAGGCAAATGCCATGAGCACACAAAAATGTTTTGAATGGGAAGAGGTGTTAAGTCAGATGCCTTATGCTATCATCTTGGAGTCAGACTTTCAATGATTGATACTCATTCTTGAAAAGGCATTTTATGGAACAAGAGTGTTGAAACCTGTGATAGCCAGCAAAACTTTCAGCAACATCAAGAATGATCAAGAGTTTATATTTATAGTTTCTCAGAGCAAAAACCAGGAGTAGAACAAACAAAAAAGTGCCAAAAGGCTCTAAATTTAAACCCAAATAACCCCCTGGTTATTTGACTACTGGTTATTTGGGTGTATTTTAGTATTGGAAATTGTGGGCAATATTTGCCAATTAGATCATCTTAGGCTAATAAAATTATCTGCATGATGTCAGTCGCAAAGTGAGGTTTGGAGAGTGCAGGCAAACCCAGAAGACTGGTCAGAATAAAGCTTGTGGGTTTTGAACAAAAAGCAGATGAATTCTTGTGCTTTGACAAACTTTGATTTGACTAACAGATTTGTATTGTTCTTGAATGTTAAAAGTAAAATGTTAGAAGAAGGTTCCCTTCTTCCTTTCCTTAAGCACCTTCTCCCCAGCTGCCTCTTTTCCCTTCCTCTGAGTGCAGAAGTAGAAATTACGGGACTCTCCAAGCCAGGCCTGACTGGCAGAGCTCCTTCTAAAAAAATCCCTTATAAAAATGTCTCAACTGCGTCCCTGGCATTCTCACATAATACCCTGAAGATGAAGATGTTTCCCAGGTCCTTTGAGATTTCCAAGACACTCGAAGCTTAGGCCCTTCCAGGAAATAACTGGAAAGGATCTTTCCTGCATTGTTCTACAAGCCGCATACTCATTTCGTGTTGTAGGAAGTTGTATCAAGGCTTTTAAATCAGGATGATTTGTGTCACCTGGGGCACTCTTCTCAGCAGGTATCATCAGATTCACTCTTGGCTGGGTAATTCTTTGGAAAAGCTGCGGTGAGTTCTCTGGCTTGCAGTCAGAACTGGGCATTAGCTTTAGCATTTGGCCACCATCTCTGGGCTTTACTGGCCGATGTAGCTTTCCCACACGCATGCTCTCCTGACAGCCAGTCTCTTAGGACCTCTGCACAGGTGGCTTGGCCAAGAAAATTGTTACACACACACATCCATGTCCTTCCATCTGTGTTCCAGAGCCTTCCTTTGCAGATGAAGATGTGCCAGTTTGTTGAAGTAAGTGGTGAACTCTCTAGTGGGGTGAATGGAGCTTGCACGGGATCCCTCATCCCACCAGCTTTCCTGTGGAGCGCAGCTCCTGTGCGCTCCTCATAGGAATATTGCTTTCCTGTTAATTAAAAAAAGCCTTCAGGGCAAAACTTCTTGTTTATCCTTCACTTTAGGTAAAGCAGCTGGCCCTTAGTCCTTTGCTTGCAGCTTAGCAGTGTGTTTAGCATGGCCCTGTCCTCCTAAAATGTCTCTCTGCCCTTGTCTTTGCCTCACTTCCTCTCAAAAGTGCTTGTTGTAGCTCTTATCCAGGGCTGGGAGCTCAGCCCTTAGTCACAGCAAAATAGTCCCCTTGGCTCCTGCCCAACAGGGTGGGTAGTGCTGGTGGCCTGGGGAGCTCCTGTGACATCTCAAGTGATCATGGGGTAATTGAGGCTCTTCTACATCACAGTGTGAAGGAAACCTGTGCTGGGAAGGAGAAGGCACCTAGGAAGCACTTAGAGGCTGTGGCATCAGGAAGAGATCTTGGATAATGTTAATATTTCTGATCAAACCTTCTGCAGCATCTTCGCGCAGTGAGAGCCCCTAAAGGAAGTGCTTTTTGCATAGCAAAGCGTAAGGGGGAACCCCCAAATTCAGAGGGATTTTGTAACTCTGAGAGGACAGGCTGAAACTACTACTTGTAGTAGTGAAACCTACACCGAGTTTGCATGCACCATGACGGCTCCTGTGGCGTTTTGCTCAGCAGCTCAGGGCTCATTTTCGCTTCAGAGCCGTTGCGAAAGGTGGGTTTCCAGCTCTGCAGTCAGGCCTTCCTCAGATGGCAGCAGATGTGGCACTGTGTCATACCGGGCCGGGCCGGCCCCCCGTGAGCGGCCGTGGGGAGCGCTCACAGGTGGCGCAAGGCATTCACCTCAGCAGGGCTGAGGCGCAACCGTGACACGGGGCCGAGGCAGCAAGTGAGCAGCCCCCAAACGAGTGGGGCTTCTCTCTCCTTTGGGCCAGACATCTCCCAAGCAAACTGGGGTCGCCTGTGTCCCTTGCTCTTCCTCCTTCCATATCTTCCCTTATCCTTCCCTTATTCCCTTCTGTTTTTCCTCCCCATCCAAAGAAGCCCCCAATCAACCTAAAAAAGCCCCAGTTAACCGAACCATCTTCCTAATTGAACAGGAAATGACGAGACTTTAGCAATGACAAGAAGCTTCCTTCAGTCTAGTCTGACGTTTTAGATACTTTTCCCACGTTTATAACTTCTCTGTGCCTACCACAATCAGTAAAGCTGGAACCATTTCTTCAGTTCTTCTCCCTTTCTGTGGTTGCTCTCTTATTTCTTTACCACTTTCATGATCTGGGTTAATTTCAGACTGCTCTTCAAAATGCAGGAGGGCAGGGGCCAGGCTGCCTGCACCCAGGAGAGTCTCTGATGTAGCTGTGAATTAAAACACTGGCTCTCCAGCGTGTGTTGTGTTGCCTGAGCATACTGCTCTTGCTCCTGCTCTGCATGCACGCAATAATCTTGTCCCCCTTGGTGTCCTTCTTATTTCTAGGCCCTTGGGATGCTCTTCTGGCACAAGCACAACATTGAAAAGTCTTTGGCAGATCTGCCAAACTTTACTCCGTTCCCAGATGAGTGGACAGTGGAAGACAAGGTTTTATTTGAACAAGCCTTCAGCTTCCACGGGAAAACATTTCACAGGATCCAGCAGATGGTAAGTGGTGTCACAGCGATGAAAAGGCTAATGGACAGTTGGAGCGTTGTCTTCAGTGCTGCTCAGGCTGAACTCCCAGCTATTGCTTTTGGGAGGAAACAGTCCTGTGAACAGATAGAAATGCCACCACTTCTGGGGTATCTGTGGAGTTGTTTTCCTGAATGAAATCGGACTGCTTTATCAGTTCAGAATAAACTTTGACTGTGTGATTTTTATTGGTTGAAAATTACAGCTTTTGGTCCCCTGTGTGCTATGGCAGTGTTTATGTCTCAGCTGGAGTTCAGGCATGGTCTCTACATGCGTGCCCACCCACACACACAGTAAAAACGGTCTCTGTGCAAGGTTGATTTCCTTCCTTACAACCTGCTTTCTAGAAATTTTTTATTTGAGTGTGAAGGTATATTTAACCTGATTTGGGACTGTCAGTGGATGCTATGATGGAAGTTTATATATCTGAAGTATTCAGTGCTTTGCTATCAATTGTTTTTAACATTTCCAATACTACTCTTTCCATTTTCTGTGATTGCAATCTTCAAGGGTAGGTCTGCCTGAAAGCAAAATACTGGCTGTGAGGGATACAAGAGGGTAGGATGTGAAGAGAACTGACTTCAAGCAAAAGTAAATGTGGTTTTCTTAGGAAAGATGAAGAAGACGAGGTGTAAAACTATTTTATTTATCAATAAAATCTTGAGAGGGTTATTTTTTTTTTCAAATAGCTTATTGCAGGGGTGGGAACCGTAGTTTGTTTTTGCTCTCCTTCAGGAAGGTGCCTTTTAAGTGTCCCAGTACAACCTGCATACGTTGGTTGTGACCCTCTGAAGAAAGGCTGGCAGATGCAGTCTGTTCAACTTTTAAAGCCCCTGTGAATGCTTGTGTTGCTGATCCTGCTGAGCAGTGAAAGGTGACCTGTCTCCAAGTAGGAAGAAAGCGGCTGGAAGAGGCTCATTTCTTTGTCTTCCTTGAATGTTCCTTCGCTTTGCAAATGTTCTTGGAGTCCTAGGGTCTCCATCTGCCTTGGTCTGTGTGACAGAATGCTGTGGATACCTGTTACAGTCTGGAGAGCTGTGGATTCCTGAAGAGTGAAGCTCCTTGCTTCTTTATTGATGTTCTTAAATGAAAAATAAAGAGGAAATGTCCCAGAGGAAGAAATGGAACGTAAAGTCCTTCCTGTTGCTTGGTTAAGCACCAAAGCAAGAAATGCTCAGTTCAGCTATCCACAGAAGCATGGCTGTCCCTGGGTGTCCCTGTGGAAGTGCATTTCGGTACAGGACTGCCAAGCTCGTGAACTCTTCCCTGGGTAATGAATTTTTACTGCTGCTCCCCAAAAAGCCATCCTGCCTGAAAGGCATTAAATGGCAGAAAGCTTCCTGCTCACAGGGGACAGGAATGAATGGCTTGGGAACCTCTTAATTGTTCCTTTATATCTGATGGTCTGTTCAGCACTGGAGCTGAGGGGAAAAATCACTGAAGCCAGAGATGGAAAGCAAGTGATCTTCCAGAGCTCCTCCTGATATTTTGGCTCTCTTAGGCTATTTCGATAGCCAAGGTAATACTTGTCCTGAACAGCCTCATCCCCGAGTTTGTTCTGTGGAGTTCTTTAATCTCAATATACCAACCAGCTGGATGGATATTGGCAACGCAGCACTGCAGTAGCTGACTGTGAAGGCACAACATGTGTTTGGATGACGAGGAATGAATTTATGCCCGTCTAACGTGTCAGCCAGGATGGTATTTCTCATGCGGTTATTAGAGCCTGAAGTGAATCTGCAGTCTGAGAACCAGGCTTATCTCAAGTGAAGACTTAGATTGTAGTGTCTGAATGAGAGAGATGTGGCTCTTGTTCACAGTTTTCCTCCCCACCCATCCCACCCTCCAAGCTGAATCAGACTCTTACCTAAAGCATGTCCTATTCAGAAAGAGAGAGGCTGGGCTTTTATCTTGTAGAAGTCTGGTATGAGAACAGCCATACCGATCACCTTTAAGAAGTGGAGAACTAGTTTTAATGTAGTTTTACTTTTCTTTCTTTCTTTTTTTTTTGACAAATTTTCCATTCATAAGTACAGGGCAATGACATGTAGTATAAGAGGACAAAAAAAAAAAAGCTATGGTTTTTGTTTTCCTGTATCCTCAGATCACCACACAGAAATGTTTCACCTTTGAAACTGTCCTTTGTTGAAATCTTTGAATAGACTTCATGAATGGTGTGAATAAGCCTTTTTAACCAGACATCAGAGATGCACTTGGGATGCCTGCAATTCAGCAACGCCTACACTTAATAGACTTGCCTGTCTTGCCTTTTGAATCTGTTACCTCAGTTTCAAGACCCCATTTCTTATTGCTCTCACAGGATTCCCCTCTCCTGAAGGGAACCAGCTGCCTGCCTGGTTAGCTGGAGCTTGCTGAGATGCTGTTTAGCAATTTTTGATGTCCTTAATAGTAGGCAGCAACCTAAAACAGTCCCCTTGGGAACATTTTTGAAAAGGCTGCAGAACTGCCTTGTTTGAACCTTTGAGAGAATTCACAGTAGAAAGCTTAGCTGTTCCTTGACAAAATAGACCAATTGTGTGTGAAATCCTGGGGATACTTTACATATAAACATATAAAAGGATACATGTTTAATTTACAGCTTCCTGACAAATCAATAGCCAGCCTGGTGAAATTTTACTACTCCTGGAAGAAGACAAGGACTAAAACTAGCGTGATGGACCGTCATGCTCGTAAACAAAAAAGGGAACGTGAGGAAAGGTAGGTTTGCAAGCAGAAAGGCTGTGTATTGACGCATACTGATTTCCTCAGAATATCTGAATATTTCAGATTCCTGTTAGTCTGTAAGAAAACGAGTGCGGGATTTTCCTCCAAATGTTTCCTGGTGCCATACCTGTTTTCCCCACCCCTCTCTTTCCTGCTGTGCATGTTTTGCTTTGCTTAAAACCAAAAGAAATGTCAGCAATTAGGTGTGCTCCTTTCTTCAGTGCTGTGTAGTTCCTGATTGCCCCTCTGATGCGGTGGTCCCCAGCCCATCACTCCGGGTACTTTTCCTCTGATACTGCTTGAAGGTGGAGGAAATGGAATTAAGCCAAAGTCTACAAGTTGTTTCACAGTGTTGTCAGCAGAGCCAGAAAAAATGATGAGCAGGAGAGTAAAAGGAAGTTATAAAAACTAGAAATCTGCCTTTACTTTCCTCCATGTGATGCTCAGCAGAATGACACATGCCCCTGGGGTGACAGGCTCCTGAGCAGCGCCAGAGGCCCGTGCACAGGCACGACCCCTCTTCCCTACCCTGCGCACACAGAAAGCTCTCAGCAGTAGAAGGTTTCAGGCCAAGCTCTATTCCCTGTTCAGAGATCAAGTTAGGCTATTTCTTGGAGTGACCGGGGGAAGCAGAAAGGACTCTGGATGAGTAAGTACTCCACAGAGCTCTCCATAGGGGTGCAGACCGCTTCAGGATTTGGGTGGGGTGGTCTTCAGGAGGTCCCTCTCCACAGAGCATCAGCAGATGAGCTTAACTCCAGCTTGTGCAACTTAGACTGTAAGCTCCTGCTTGGGAGAACCCGTCCATGCCCTGTGAGAAGGTGAGCCAAACCATGTATTGCTAGGAATATCAGTGCAGTTAGAGCTGCTACCAGGTGACTCTGCCAGTTTTGGAGCTCAGAGGGCCTCAAATGTGGTGGCCTCAGGTCTATGAAAAGAACCTCTAAACGGCAGCAAGCCTGTCCTCTTGTTTCAGGTGTCTTCACAGCCCGTCCTGTGAAGACACAGTTGGTCTTTGCAGTCCAACCTTGCCCAATTTTGAGGTGTACCTGGCTTTGAAAGACTCCTCGCGTACCTGGGCTAAGTTTTGCACAAGCTCTTCCATCAGAGGAGCTGGTGCTCGAGCACTTCCCAGGGAGCCGTACGCTGGCTCCAGGGCCCTGTGACCGAGGCCCGTTCAGGAAGGGGGAAGAGGGAGCGTTTCCAGGGTTGAGCCACACTATGCTGGTGACTCACTCAACCTCTCCCACCTCTGCTAGAGCAGCGGTGCTTGCTGAACGGGCAGGGCCCTGGAGAATACCACCAGCCAATTTATCCATTATTTATGTGGCTTTCTTTTACCTGAGTTTCTTTCGTGTTCTTTACCCTTCTCTGCAAAGACTGTCTTGGTTTTCCTCTCCCCATCCTGCTTGTTTGTTTGTTTTCTTTTTCCTACTGATTTATGAGGAGAAAATAAAATCACTGATAAGGAATATATTTGTCTCATACTCTGCAGTTCAGGATCTTTTAATACTACCTCTCTAATCTTGTTCTGTGTTTATAAATGAAGTTATTGCAATCTGGAAATATACCTCTGGTACACACTGCTGTTTGCCGGGGTAAGCAGCACCTCGGGCTAAGAGGTGACTGGGAGGGAACTGAATGGATGGCCATGTGCTTTTTTTGTAGCCTTTGCAGAAGGCAGTTGAATTGAAGATGCATGGTTTGCTTTACGTCTGCAGCGAGTTTAACACGAGACCTTTATAACCTTGATGTTTGATTTTCTCTTCTCCTGCATCATGGGGAGTAGTGAAAGCCCCTGCCCCAGGGGTTTGTCAGTGCACGCATGCGGGGTGCAGGAGCAAAGCTGGCTGAGGTTGGAGTGCCTGACTTCTGGGGTCATGCTGTGCCAAGGGCATTTGCAGAACTTGGAAAATGTGCTCAAGTCATCAGTTAGAAAACTGGTGGAAAAAAAAAAAACCAAGAGACATTCTGATCTATCTTGTATCTGGGGAATTTGCTACAGTACAGGAGCAAACTACAAGCTCCACCATAAATGCAAGGCTGTTTGGCCTTCAAAGAAAGGCAGAAACTTGAACCCAGGTGAAAATACAAGGTTGCTGCTCTGGAGACGAGACTGATAGAGGCAGCAGTCTGAGGTATCGCACTCAGGTGCTGCTCTGTCTGCTGTGGCTGGACAGGGAAATTCCCTAACCCTCAGCTTGCCACTAAAATAACTCCCCGTGCATTGGGACCGGGTTCTCGGTAGCTGTTCTTAGATGCATGTGAGGGACTTTACGTAACTCCAGAGCAAGTGCCTGTGAGGTTCCAGTCTCACGATAGCACAAACAAACAGCTGGCAGGCCAGGCAGCTTGGGAGGGCAGGACGGGCTCGTCCAGGTGCTGAAGAGGGATGTCACTGAGGCCACCCTGCAGCGCTGCTTGGGGGACATCTGCAGTGTTGCTGGGGCAGGCCTGTGCGCGGTGTCACAAGCAAGGTGCTCTCAGCAGCGCCTGTCTCTGCAGCTGCCCTCGAGCCTGCTCCTCAGGGCAGGCGTCGGGCTGGCTCCAGCGCTGCCCTGCGCTGCTGGGACATACCCCAGGCAGCTGCAGCTCCTTATCCCATGCTGTGAAGTTTGAAGTAACAAAATAGCTTTAATTTGTATTTAATAACTCATTAAAAAAAAAAAAAAAGCTTTGATCAGATCAGGTTATTCCTTCATTTTCTGGGCACGATCCCAAATGGCGCAATTAACTTTAGCTGTGTACACTACAAAATTTCTAAACGGTGTATATGAAAATATATTTGATTTAATGTCTGATTAAAATTCCAATAAAGCCAAACTGGCCAGGTGTGCCAAGGTCACTTTCACTACAGCCTGAATTGCATGCCCACTATTATGTTACTGATACCTCTTTCTTTTTTCAGAGGAGAGTTAAATATGAGATTATGTGCCTGATAAACACTTTTTACGCTTGCTCCTGATGGAGCTCATCTTATGCACATCTCCTTTGCTAAATGTTAAGAAGCTGAATGAAACCCTTGTCAGAGCTCCTTGCTGTAGTTCTGAGTCTTTGTGTCTGTCTGAGTTTGCCTCAAGTTAAATGCTCAGTGTCCAGTTTTCTTTAAAAGATGATCTGTGTAATTGATTGTATGTATCTTGCCTTCATTTGAGCAGGCATATTTTGCCTAAATACACCTCTTAAAAGTTTATGTCAAAGCTTTTACAGGAAATGGTCCCTAATGTATTTATAATTAAGAAGTACTTGATTCTTTAAAGACAAAAGTGAAAAACTCCAAAGCAAAGCTGTTGGACTTTTGATTGCATCAATGCATTTCATTCAGCAGGCTATTTACAGCAAAACAGCCTCACAAAATAATACAGTAGTGCTTGCTTTTGTCTTCCAGTGAGGATGAAATGGAAGAAACAAATGGAAATAATCCTATTGATATTGAAGTTGAACAAAACAAGGAGAGCAAAAAGGAGGTATCTTCTTCTTTTTTTTTTTTGACTATACAAATGAAAGTGTTTACTTACTAACTACTTCATGTAGAAGCTGACAATACCTAATTTTCTTTTTGTGCTTTGTGTAGTTGTCATCTGGGAAAAGAAGAATTGTCTTCAGAATTCTTATTAGATCAAGACAAGTATAGACATAAGTTATAATGGATGAAGCTAAGAAAATTTCTGACTTTACCATCACATGAAAATGTGTTATGTGATTGTGTGTTCCCCTCTTTTGGGTTCAGGGTTAGCTGCGTTAGCCCCAGCCACCTTCACTGCTGGTTTAAGTCAAGCTGACTGAGCACTGGAATGGAGTAGAATCACCTACAAACCTGTGGTTGAGGGGACATGTATTTAAACTAAAACTAAACCTCCAGGTAGAGCAGTCTGAGTGCTCTCATGCTTGTCTGCAGCCATGGACTCTAAGGCAGGTTCATGATCTCTTGAAATCCTTAACATCAGCAGTGGGGATTTCAGTAGCACCAGGATTGTAACTGCAGTAGTGAACAGTGAGAGAGAAACTTGTTTTTTGACCTGTTTGTTATTGCCTGCTGGAGAGGTTTTACCTTGTTATGTGCAGAATATTTTGTGCATTTAAAACATAATGCTTGCAATTCATTTCAAATACTTCTTTATAAATGAGACCACTGCTTGGGATGAAAATCGCGCCACAGAATCTAACGGGCACCTTTGAAAACTTAGTCCGTGGTGCTCAGCAGGGAGGTGCAGAGAGTACTGTCATGAGCAGAGCTTGCAGGTTCCCTGCTCCTGAACAAAATCCCTGGACGCGGCAGCAGCAACGAGGGTTCGAATGTGAGTGGCTGCTAGGGGAAGTTTGCCCTAAGGCCTCTGTCCTTGAAGCAGCTCCCTCTCCTGCTTCCTCATAGCCTACTGTCTCTCGGCTATGTCATTCTCAGCTTCAGAGATATATAAATCTGTGTATATATATTAACTTTAAGGCTTTATGTAGAAACAACCAACACCACAACACCTATCATAGGCTGTTATTGCTCAACAGGCAAAAACAAGGGCTTAGAGCAGCTTTTATTACTGGTCCCTGTCAGCAACGATAATTCCTCTAACAAATTATTTTGAATGGGGCAAAAAGAAAGGCTAAACCACAGCGTTCTGGTCCGTGTGCCACACGTACCGCAGTGCTCTCTTGCCCTCCTGGAGCGTGGCCGGAGGACCCGTGCCCCTGCGGCGCGCGCGGCTCTCCACTGCGCCTCGTAAATAATTAATGCTCTATTCTCCTTTCCCAGTATATTAATAAAAAAAATAGTACGAGGCTTTCACCCTAAGCCCTTTGAAAACTTGCATCTCTAAGAGAGCTCTTACTGACGCCCTTTGTCAGTGACTTCTTCCATTGCCTCTTCTGCCGCAAGCCCAGCGTGGGAAGGGGCTCTGCAGACTTTGCGCTGTCTGTTGCAAGGCCAGAGCAGAGGGCAGATAGCTGCCATCAGGACACTTCTTTTTCCGCAGTGTTGCGGGGAGGATGCCCTCTTCCCTCCCTCGCGCGCTGTCGCGGGCGGCTGCGCGCTCCGCAGCCCGCGCGAGCTGCCCCGCGCTGCCTTTGCCGTGGGAAGCTGCCCGCGGGGGCTCTTCTGGGCAGCAGTCGCACTGGAGGGTAAAATGAAGCTGGCAACCAGTGTAGCCTGTGCAGAGCTAATTAGATTTGATTTTGCAGTACTTGAGCCTGGGGCTGATTGAAAATCCCTCCAGAGAGAGTGCAGGAGTCCAGGAGAGGGATAAGTTCCTTCGAATCAGTGCAATTCTTTTAATGACTCAGATTTGCAGTGCTGCTGATGTGCTGCTAGCCCAGGCCCAACACCGTAGGGAGACTCCTTGTCCTGAGAAGGGCTCCCTGGCTCTGAGACCTGCAGTCACTGTGTGACTTACTGGGCAATGCTGGGACTTGGAGCATCTGAAACCTCTTGTCTGTGTTTCCTCTTTTGGGGATCATTGGAGGGGGGACAGGGGGTAGTCTTCCTTATTTTTAGTACTTCCAATGTTAGTAGCTATTCAGGTTTCTTCAGATAGTGACTCCATGATACCAAGGTCTGTCAGTGAAAACTCTGCGTTGCTGCATGATTTAATTCTTCTTTTCTAAACTGTGAAGCCTTAGGAAGGGGCCTTGTTTGTGTGGAAAGAGGTTTGTACCATTAAAATGCTCTGGATAGCAATGTTGTTATCTAAATAAACAGAAAAAGCACTGCTGAAGCCCTGGATTGGCATTTTAATTCTACAGGGCTATCTGGGCAGCCAGGAAGGCAAAAGTTTCCGCATAGAGCAGACCTGAAAATCTCAGAGCCTGAGCGATGTCGCTGGGGATTAGAGACACTTGAGCTGCCCAAGTCCCTCCTACTGGAGCTGGGGCCGCTTGTTGGGACTCGCTGCCCGTTCTCCGAGCTCGGCAGAGCAGCCCTCGGACGCGGCCTTCGCTCGAGCTGGTGTCGAGCTGCCGGGGCCGTCTCAGCGCAGGCCTCGTGCGCGTGTCGCCCGGCAGCCCCAGCCTGCCTGCGGGGCGGTGCTGCGCCATTCTCTATGTAGATGAAATAGGAATAAATCTGAAATGTCTCTCCTTGCTGAATAATTTACCTGGCTCAGCCATCAAAGCGCTTGCTTCAGAAGCAGAGTGCAGAGCTCGCCTGGCCTGTTCAGAGCGAAACCCGTCTGGTTCCTGCTGCTGCCCATGCCACTGCGAGGAGTCAGGTCTCCGGCCCGCAGCAGTAATAGCTGCTCCTTGCTCCTGGGCTTGCCCTAGGCGCTGCTTCTCGCAGAGCCCTGTGCACTAACAGGGAAGAAAGCTGAGAGAGACAAGCGCCCACGTTACTGCTCCTGGCCAGCCTGGGCGCTGAGCCCCTGGAGCCTCGGTCCATAGCTGTAGCTTGGGATTTTGTGCAGCACCTCCTGTGTGCTTTAATGCAAATGTTGCAAACTGCGGAGAAACCAAACTACGCGTAGCTGCAGATGAGGAGGGAAACAATAAAACCAGGGGAAGGCAGGGCGTTGAAGCCGGCAGCGATCAGGCACGGGATTTTAGATGTAGCCGCCCCTTTCTGCTTCTGCTCCCCCACCTCCTCGTTTATGTTCTTGGCAATGTGCCAGCTGCTGGATAATAAATTAATTTGGGGTATGAGTTGCTTACTGAAAGTAACTTCTGGAAGAGATGTTTTGGTATTAAAGAGAATTATATGTGCTCTTGGAAGCATCCATAGTGAATCTTAGCTAATATATCTGCTAGAGCTGTGTGCCTCACTCTTTGCTTTAAAAAGAGCCATGAAAATAATGAGTGGTGTGTGAAATATTCCCTTTTGTGAGAAACTTGAATTTTTGGGGGCAAAGCTGCATCAGTTTAATGGAACAGCTATATATCTGTCAGTGCTATGCAAGGAAACCTAGCAGTTCCCAAGAAACCATATAATGATCTAAGAATTACTTCGTAGTCATCTAACTCCTTCATCTTTACCCTTAAAATATCCCCCTCCAATTCAGAGAGGAGTGAGTCTCTGTCATCTTTCTAGTTGTGTTCCTCCCCTGCCTCCAAACTCTGTTTTGCTTCTTTCTGATGTTCATTTAAACTGTGATGAGACTGGGTGATGAAATCAAGAAAAGGGGTCTTGGAGTGTTTGCAAATTACTAGAATATTTAACAGAGTGAACATCAGGCATCTGTTACAGAAATGAAAATGGGCTGGAAAAGCAGCCAGTATCTCTGTAAATGTTAAAAGCTGCCTGGAAGGAAGCAGGTTTGTAGAATACAGTGTTTCCATGACGTGCTGCCTAGACCAAGAAAGTGTCTTCCCATTTGCAAGCCACCTTTTACATTCTTCCAGCTTTGGGGATGGCTGAAGATGGGCAATTAAAGCATCTCACTAGTCTCAGTGTAGACCCTGGTTTCTGAAGTGATTTAGGAATGCAGAATTGGATCTCTCGATCATTGCAGGGCTGCTGAGAAGAGTACCCACAGCATGATTTAATGCTGTGTTTCTTGGTCACCTAAAACACACTGTGCATTTTGTAAAATAACTGCTATTTCCCAGGTGCCGCCCGCTGAAACTGTTCCTCAGGTGAAGAAAGAAAAGCACAGTACACAGGCCAAGAACAGAGCGAAGAGGAAACCTCCCAAAGGAATGTTCCTTTCCCAAGAAGATGTAGAGGCCGTTTCTGCCAATGCAACAGCTGCTACAACTGTACTCAGACAACTGGACATGGAGTTAGTCTCAATCAAACGACAGGTACAGATGGGAGAGCTCAAGGATAACTTTGTTTGTTAGCTCAGGTGGTGGCATCTGTCACAGTCTGCAGCATCCTCAGGGATTCAGCTTGATTGTGACGATCCTTATCGTTATGTAGCTTAATTAACAGGCCGTCAGCCTTGTGCTATCAGTTATCACAGCCCTTGCTTTACTTTTGTTACGTTTTAGTTCTGTGGGAGCCTGCCTTCTACCCACAGTGAAGTGAGGAAAAAGTCCTGTAGCTCAGATCTGTGTGTCCAAGAAGCTGCTGACTCTTCTGAAGGAGTGTTGGTTGTTTGGCTGTCTATGTGCCCTGCAGTCTGGAATTCCTCATATTTTGCCTGTGAACTTCCTTCAGATGGCCTTGGTTTCAGCAGTGTCTGGTCTCCATGTGCAGCATCTCATTTACCTTTTCGTACGCTGCTGTTGGAAGATGCGGAGCTCTCGCAGGGAGCACGTAGCAGTGCTTCCACCATTATTGTCTGGGTTTTTTTCCTAGCCTTTCCTATAGCCATTTGATTCCAGGTCCCTGTTGAGGTTATGCATGAGCAGAGTGCCAGCTAGGGCATAGTGAGGTGACCACTGGGTTTTCATTGAATGTTTGTTTTTAATTGCATCTTAGCATTTGTAACTTCACGGGTTTTCCGTGTGAAGTTTTGATGTGTGGGTTTTTCTTCTTTCCTAGACAGGCATCATACAAACTTTCCTGTGTAGCTTTTACATCTCTGATGGATCTGTCTTTGAAACAGTTACAGACAAAAGTTTATTCAAACATCTGCTAGTAAAATGAGGTTTAGTATTTGAATCTGTTTCCTAGATCTGAACATTTTTAACTGTTTTTTAAAGCAGAGTTCTGGCTGAAGCTCTTTATTAAACTTAATAGAATTGGTATTTTGGCCTGAAGCCACCTCCTTGGAGCTCTGGGAGAAGCTCTCCAGCAGCCTTGATTCATTACTTGCCATGAGAAGGTCCTTCCTTCTTGTACTAAGCACTATACAGACCTGAAAGCTGGGGCAGTTCCTGATCCAAATGACTTGCAGACAGAATAGAATAAATTTATGGGTCTCTTGATGTCCCAGCTGTTTTTACATTCTTTTATTACCGTATAAAAATTTCTTTAGGGGAAAAAAAATGCTGTAAGGAGAACTGGAATGCAGAGTTTGCGTGGTTCTTGCCAGGGCTGCTAGGAGAAGGCTAGTTGAGAGATTTTTATCTTTGTTAAAGAGATGAAATTTTATTTTCAGATTCAGAATATCAAGCAGACAAACAGCGCTCTCAAAGAAAAACTTGAAGGTGGGATAGAACAATACAGACTCCCAGAGGTAGGACCATTTCCTGACCTTTCTTGCTGTGATGATATTTGCTACTCTGTGTTGACATATCAGTGCTGTTTCTTTCGCTAGTAACTAGAACCAGGATGCTATTAGTTGTCATAGTGCGAATGCAGGCAATTGCCATATGCACTGGAATTGCATTATGGAACAGAGATGGGAGGTGAGAAGTAAGCAACAATGAAATGTTTAACTTGGGAAATCAGTTTCTAACAGAGATGTTGGTAACCCAGGCATACCATGTTCTTTTTGGAATGCTGTATCCAAATGTCCCTGTGAGAGAAGTCAACATTGGGCTCTAAATACTAAGAAGTGTTGGATAGATGTTAATGGCCTGTCTTTCTCTTGGCACTTAGTGCTTTTCCTGTTTTCCTTCCAAATCTGGCACTTTAGCCTGGAAATAACTTGACCAAGATTACAGAAGGTGTCTGTGATAAAAGCAAGCAGGTACTTCTGGAGAGTTTGTGACTCTGGATCATCTGCTCAAACCGTTTCCTATCTTTTTGTATCTCCAGTAACTTACAGACTTAGTGTCTTTCACAGTTAACTGACTTGATGCCCCACACAGTTCTTTAAAAACATTTACTACTAAAAAAAAAAAAAAGATAAGGTTTGACTAGCAGTTAATTCCTTGTTGTGTTGTCGTGAGATTTTTATGAACTCAGATGCAAGTGCAAATTGTTGCTTATGCAAATTATCTATTTTTTTACATCTAGGTCACTCAGAAATTCAATGCACGTTGGACCACGGATGAGCAACTTCTTGCTGTGCAAGGTATGTAACTACAAGTCTCATTTCAGAGCAGTATTTCCCTTCAGTGGCTACTGAAGGTTTTTGACATTGCTCGATATTAATGCCCAAAGGAACTGAACAAGAAAATAATGCTTCCAACCCTCTGCAATGTAAATAGCACCTTGAGTATTTGCACATAATTTTTGGTTGTCTAAAGTTTTAGCAAGTGAAACCTTGGGGGTTACTGTAACACTCTTTGCTAGGGTAAATTTTCAAGACATGCAGGCAGGTTTGCTATTTTCCTGCTTGTCTCATCCTACCCAGCTCTTCTAGATTTGGTTCTGTGTATCTTCACTTCTCTTCTCTGAAACTAATATTAGTGTCTCATGTCCAATTTATATCTTCTTGCTACTTTATTCAGAGAGGCTTGAATCTGTGCAGTTTAGCTTTAGATCTTCATGCTGTGATTTGAGTCTGTGGTCTTTGTGGAAATATCACTCTGCTTTTGTTTTGTTTTCGTTCCTTTCAGCAATCAGGAAATATGGCCGAGACTTTCAAGCAATCTCTGATGTGATTGGAAACAAATCTGTGGTGCAAGTGAAAAACTTTTTTGTAAATTACCGTCGTCGCTTCAACATAGATGAAGTTCTACAGGAGTGGGAGGCAGAGCACGGCAAAGAGGAGACGAATGGAACCAACAGCCAGAAGCCTGTAAAATCCCCCGATAATTCCACTAAAATGTCAGAAGAAGAAGATGAGGTAAATCCAATTTAAAAGCCACCAAAAATTCCCAATCTGAGCTTAGCTCAGATGTACAGACTACTTGCAAAAGCCATTTTTCACAGTCTTCAATCAGCCTGTTTTTACTTACAAAATACGCTCCAATATATTTTCATTTTATTTATTTCACTTCCTCTGGATATACAGATCCCAGAGCCGACTTTGGGAATTCCAGGCATAAATGAAAGTGGGAAGAGAACACTTAATTTGCAGCCTCTGATAGTATCTCATCAGCACATGGACATTTTCATGCCTTTTACCGCTGAAACACAGGTTTTTATCTCAGTCGGATGCTTTCCCTGCACTCAGTTCTCCAAGCTGTTCTAGGTTTGGCTCTGAGAGACCTCAGACTTCTGAGGCAAAGCTCCTTCTTTCATTTGTGGTTAGGGAATGGCTTTACTTAAGGGAAGGGAAGAAAGCTTACAAACAAGGCAAGTGTATGCAACTGTTCACCCTAGAATTGCCTAGAGGCAGAGTTTCCTTGAATTATAATGGTTTCTACGAAGGCAGAAAGTCTCGGCACAGCCTTTTCTGCTCTCCTTCTTGAAGGAAGTTCCCTGAGAATGCTTCTCCAAAGACCATGTATGTTTAAAGTTAACTAAGAGCCTGCAGAGTATTTAAATGTGGAATTTACAAAAAAAAATGTAATATTAATATGGTGTTGCAAAAGAAAAGCCCAGCCAGAGGTTTGCATGTGAAAACATCTGATCTTGGGGCTCCCTTTGGCCTAATTTCATTAGCTGGCTTGGCACAAAAGCTGCATCTTGTCAAATGCAAGCACACTCAAGAGCAAAAGGTGAATTCTGTTCTCTAATGGACTACAGGTTGTTCCCTGTAGGATTTCTGAACTGTGTGTTTCTGTGAGTTGATTCACTTGTGCATTGCTATGTTGGCTATTCAGAGAGTAAACTTCGTTGCTTCACGAATCCTAGAGATACATTCCTCAAAGACACCTGTATTTGAAGACTAGGTCCAGTGATGTGAAACGTGAACAAAACTAAACTGAAAAAAAGCTTTGGGGCAGAGGGAGAGGATTAAATTGCCCTATTTTTCCAGATTTGAGAGATGGAGCAAAGAAGCAGTCATACTAGTACCTAGCCACCCATTTCAAAAACAGTTGGATAATGTTATTGCCTTTTCTAGTGAGCAGCAGAGAGTGGTGTTGGTCAGCAGTGCAGACTTCTTCCTCTCTGAGCCCTCAGAGATTCTTCCTGGCTTCAGATGAACCCTTTCTCCTGGGAGTTACAGTCAAAGGGACCTTCACTTGAGATGGGAAACCAGTGTTGGGGTCATAACAGGACTGGAGTTTGCTGGTGTGGCCACACGCTTGGGTGTAGTGAGGATCCATGAAGTGCTGGCTGAGGAGGAGGAGGCAGGGTGAGCGGAGGTGGGGGAGCACAGAGCTGGTGCTCAAGGGGCTGTTGGAACAGGAGTTGTGGGCCTGGGCCTGAGCTGAGAGCTGGGAAGGGGGCCAAGAAGAGAAGCCAGCCGGAATGGCTGCGACGGCCAGAGCTGCAGGAGGGAGGCAGGTTACAGTGCCCTGCAGAGCCGGGCAGATGGGGGCCAGGCCCCGCTCAGAGCCTGCTGCATGTGGCAGGCTAACGGAGAAGCTGGGCAGGGCGGCCAGGAGCTGCTGGCCGTGACTTTCCGTGTTTTCCTTCACGTCAGCGCCGTGCACTGTGCAGCTCTCCATGAGGCTTGTTCTGGACAGGAGGAACTGAAGTGGTGTCACGCTGGGGGAGGAGGGTGCTGGCAGCACGGAGGGGATTTTAACTGCTGAGCCATAGTGCGTTGTACAGTTGTAAGAGGAAGGATGTTGCGTAGCTGAGATCTCAGAGCCATGCTGCTGCCTGAGCAAGTTGGGCAGAAACGTCGTCTCCTGGGGTGACTCTGGCTAGGGAGCTCCCGCCTCGGGATAGCACGAGCACCGCGCTGCAGGCCTCAGCCTGACCGCTGCCTCTTGGGCACTTCTGTGGACTAAGTGGCGTGTGGCTGCAGTTCCACGCAGGTCCTGCTGGTCCCTGCTGAGCTGCACAGCCCCACAGATGGGGACGGCTCCTGAGAGCTGCTCGCAGAGGTTGCGCCGCCGCGGCAGCTGGGCCGACACGCAGCCCCCCGGGCACTCTTCTCTGGCAGGGCCCGCTGGCCGCCAGCCCACTAAGAGCTTCGTCAGCCCTCTGAGGCTCTGGGCTTTCCCCTTCAGCATGTTTTCATGGCAAGTGGCCACAGTTCCTTTTTCTGAGGCAGGGGGAAGGCAAGATTGCTGATTACATAGCAGCCTCAGCGCCGGCCTTATTCTTGTTTATGTTCCCAGCAAATCCCATGCGGATCAGAATAGGGGAAGCCGCTCTGATTCCCTACCGTGTGCCAGGGCTGTCTGTCTTGTTGCTTTCAGTACCTCAGGTCTAGCGTGAAGCTTGGAGATGCAGGAATGCGTGTGTGTCTGCGTTTTTAAACTAAACGTCTCCTTTTTCTTCCCCTCTCCCCCCTCCCCTCCAGGCTACTTCTGTTCTTGATGTCAGATATGCATCTGCTTCGTGAGAAGGTGCTGTAGCCTAGAACAATTTGTGTTGACTACTGTGTTATCCAGGATATCAGGTATTAGCAAACCTCAGACAGCCATCTGCATCATATCTGTGGACAAGCAGCTGTTACCAAAAAAAGGCAAACGCTTCCAGTCCTCTGCTACATCTGCCTTAATCTCCCCTCATTGCTCCATACTGCCTCCACTTTCTTTCCAAAGCTCCCAGATAGCTCAGCTCTCCATTTCACCAACGTCCTGCTTAAGCATGGGGATTTCTAGAACTAGTAACACCTGTCTCTAATTTTGACCAGCTGTCAAAGCAAGGAGCTCCTTAGCAGCCCCACGATAACTCTACACATTAGGAGTTCTTGTAATACTTGGTCCGTAGGGTATAAGTACGTATTGCTGCATGGCCTTGTGGTCTCTGCTTCCTGTGTATTCTTATGATGACACTATTATTAGCGACCTTTCTATAAAGGAGAGGCCTGTGCACATGCCAGCAGTGTCAGGTTTGTTCTGAAATGACAGGGCCCTTTAGCAAGCAACCGTGAATAATGCCAAGTGATAGGAAATGCTGTTTCTGAGGTTGGGTCAGTCCAAGGTTGTACATGTAAGTCATTACACTTCTGGTTTGTGCAATTCTTTCCACTGTATTTGTGTCTCTTGCTTCATAGAAAGCTCCCTAACTGAGCATTTTATTCCTGTATATTTTAATGGCTTTTATTTAGTGCAAAAGGGAATACGTAACCTGAAACTGTTTGATACGCTATTTAACCCCTGGCATTCAGCATTTGCATTGTAACTTGTTAAATGAGTGCTACACAACTTTCTTTTTCCTGATCCTTTGCGGGATTAAGTCAAAACAAACTTTCTCTGGTGCCTCTCCTTCAGAATACGTGCCTTTTTACATTTGGCTACCATAGGTCACTCTCTGTCCCAGTGTCTCATTCCTCTTCAGAGCGCTGTTTGCCAAAGACTTCAAACTACTCCTCCCACTGGAAGAGTAGGCAAAGGTTGGAACATAAAATTCAGCCTCAAAAAGAGTAGTTTGGGGTCTCTTGGAACTTGAGGAGAATGGGGTTAATTCCATTGGCCATTTTAACCCTTCTGAAGCACACATCGCTTTCATGTTCTGAACCAAAATATGCAATTTATAATCTAAGAGGTGCTTTTCCAAATACTTGGTGCATGCAGCTTTCCAGTCCCCAGCCCTTGCTCAGATGACCTGTGCTGTGGCTTCCGTGGCTGGTTTGAAGTGGAGCTGTTCATGGAAGTCCCGTGCTCAGGCTTTGCACCTCGACCAAGGTGTTTGCTACTGACTGCCAAGCAGACAGTGTTCAGAGAAGCTCGAAGCAGCAGTATTACTTTTTGCCCAGTGGAAAGTTGCAAAATAACACTAGCCACCATGCATTTGAAAATGGTTAAGTCTCTTGATGTTGCAAGAAACCAAACGGCGTCTTTGCGAGTGCAGAAAAGGCCCTTTGGCGCTGCGTGGGGCAGGGGGCTGCGCGCTTGGCAGTGTGAGGCGCCGCGGGCCGCCACACCACACGTGGGCTGCGCTGCAGGCCGCACCGCCGGCCACAGGCCCTCAGCACTGGCCTTGTCTCCTCCTCGAACCTTGTGTGGGGGAGAAATTAAATGATGACGTGAAGGCGAAGGAGCCGATGGGCATTTCCTAAGGCCAACTAGAGTGTGGAGCCCAGACAGGGCTCATTTCAGCCGCTTCTGTAGCGATGTCTGAGCACCTTCGTTCTGGTAGTGCCAGACAGGGCCTTTCAGGTGCTGCTCTCTGTAGCCCGGGTTAGTGGCAGCTTCTCCACAGCAGTTTGTGAGCCGGCAGCTGCGGCCGCGGAGCTGCGCGTGCTCCTCTGGCCCGTGCGCTGCGGTGGGGAGCTCTGGTGAGGAGGGACAGCGGTTGTTGGCCAGGGTGAATAAGGAGTAATTAGGACTGTGGATTCTGGTGGCACTCGCGGTGTGGAGCAGTGGCACCCCGAGGCGTCCTGAGGCGGCTCTTGCCAGCGCACAGAGGCTGTGGACTTGCATCCCGGCTGGTGAAATTCTTCCACAAACGTTTCTACGGACTAGGCAGTTCCCTGTGAGGACTCGTAGGTTTTTGCCCTCAAATCTGCCCATTTTCTTATCAGGAAAGTTGTGTTTTGGCTTCATCCCTAAAGGGCGGGGGGAAACATGTACAATTCATGGTCTTAGGAAGAAAAAAGTTGTTTGATTACTTCTCAGTTGACTGCTATCTTATTGTAGTTGAGACATACAATATAATAGCACTGTATTTTAAACGTTTAGTTTTTTACGTTTTCTTTAACTCTTACATTTTTAAATGCGATAAAATCATTTTAGCTTTTAAAAGTTTAAATGGTTTTGGTCTTGTTTAAGTGAAGACCCCCTTTTTTTTATTAATGGATCAAGCATTAGATATACCAACTGGTTGCATTCTGATTAGAAGGGTCCACAAAGAATACTGCATAAGATATAGAATACTCACTTAAATTTCGTTTCTTAAACTATCAATGTGAATGTCATAATTATATATATTTTGTGGAAAACGGGAAATTATTTCTCCTAAGTATAAGTTATTGTGCAAAATATGGTATCGTTAAAGAAAATGATAGTTTAAGTTTTAGTTTTAGAAATCTTAAAGATATAAAAGTGTATTGCATATGCATAAACAAATTTCATTTGTTCTATTTAATTTTATGTAGTTGTGTAAAGTGCTAGATAACCTCTTTTTTCGCTTATCCATTAAAACAACCTTGTTACTTGAATATTCGTGTTTAACTGGTTTAAAACAGTGATCAACTTTTGTAAAATAATCCTATAACCAAGGGAAAAAAATACACACCTCAGTTGTGCTTAACAATATAGCAACAATGTACAATCAGATGCGTAAGACTGTAGTAGCCATAACCGGTAGTACAACCACAATGGTTGTGTCTTGATATTATTTAATACCAATGGGGATAATGAATTCTTAATATATTTTTACAAGTTTGCAACCAGGAAGACCCCATAAATATTCACTAGAACACTTTTGTAATAGCTAATATGAGTGAAACTCTTACTCTCTTACAGCAATGTCCTGACAAACATTTTTCTTTCCTGTACAAACACATCTGAAACATTATGTATTAAAATACGCTCATTGTCACTTTAAATTTCAGTTTTTATCCTCTAAATCGCTAATATGCTGTTGGTATTCTTGCACACCAAATATGAGCCAAACAGTGCATTACACTAACTTGATCACTGGATTTATGAACATAAATCTCCAAGTCAATGAACTGCAAAAATGTTGCGAGAGATTTTTCTGATCTGTTTTTCAAATGTGTATAAAATTATGCGTAGCCCATTCAACAATGAGTGGCCTGATATTTACATTTAAAAATCATTTTATTAGCTCCAGCTTGTCTTCAGCAAGTCAAAATCTAGTGATCTTGTGCAATGCCCCTAAAGCAAATACTTTCTGCCACTCCCTGGATTAATGCAGCTTTTCCTGTTGATAGTAAAGCACAATTGCAGTGAAAGTTACAGTTCAGAAGATGGAAGGTCAGTATAGTCTATGCATGTTGTATAATAATGAGTGTTTACATTCATATTCTCCTAAAATAAAATTTATACTGGAGTGTATAGTATTCCATTATGTAGATTTTATCAACTTTGTTAACTGCTTATAGATTGCTTAAAAAAAGTTTTTTCAAGATTTTAAAAGATGTATAAGGTTAAGTTTGCAAATATAATGGAAATGCTGTATAGCTTTTGAAGTGATAAAATACTTGTCGGGATTTTAAAGAAAGTATGTTGTAATAATGCTGTTGTAAGTAATATTTTAAATGTCTTTTTTGCCTGTTTTCTATTATTCAGCACACTTACTGTGATGAATGTTCATAGCATTATAAAATTGCTTAGCCACTGAAAAGTAACATTTGTTTTTGAATTATTTTACTGTATGAGGACTTATAGTGGGGTAAATTCTTTTGTGAAATTCTACATAATTCATTTTTCTATGATTTCCAATGTTTGCTGACATCAAATAAAATTTTTTCAAGCCATTGATGTAATAAAAGATGTAGTGAAACGTTATTAATGCAAAGCGGGATTGATGTAAGTGACCACCTACCTTCAGCTCAGCGACAGCGGCCGCGCGGTCGCTGCTGGGATGAGCGGTGCCGGCTGTGCACAAAGGGTAACACTCGCTTGTGCAATTTAAGGAGATTCTCATCTTTGTCCTACAATCAAAGGCCATTAAAAAAAACATTTAAAACAGATGGGAAGAAAAATCCCCATGCCCTTCAAGGGCAAGGTCAACACCATGTGTTGACGGTGCCGTCCATGATGGCCCAGGAGGCTGGGGATTGCGCTGGGTCTGAACCTCGTTGAGGACGGAAGCCACCGTCTTTTTGGAAAGTCCTGCCGAGGGCTGCGCGGGAGGCAGCGCAGCACCGAGTGCACAAGCGGAGACAACCCTCTTTGCATCTGTCTCGTTACACTGAACACACGAGTTAGCAGCAATGCCCCCACTTCTGGGATCTGGGCATTGGTGTGGGACAGAGCAAGGCACGTTCTGGTTTGCTTGCGTGTATGCTGCATCCAGCAGAACTAACGGGGCAAGATCTTGTGGTGGTTTGCAGGGTTAGTTGTGTGTCAAGGATATTAGTCAGTCATGCCTGTGTATATTATAAAGTAAGGGGGAGTGGAAGGAAAAAGCCTGACTTGGGGTTTTTGGTACAGTCATTTGACTCCCAAGATATTCTCAGCCCTTAACCTTCAAAACAAGCAACTTCCTCACAGCTCCACAGCAAAACAAAGCGAGATGTAAATAAAATAAAGGAAGAACTCGGCTTTCCCCATTCCAATCGGGGAACATCATCAGACGAGGAAACCAGGACTTGCTGTGGCCGGAGGCGTACCGAGGAATCCCCGGCAGGGCCCACGAAGCAAAGGTAAAGCTGTGGTGGTGCCATTTTTAACAGCTCAGGTGCTACATTTCTGCCTAGGAATTATATGTATTTGTAAAAACAGAGTACTGAATTAATGCCGAATGCAATTAAAGATGCTAGACTTGTACATTTAGATCTTAACAAAGACATGCATGTATATGGGGAGACAGGTTTCCAAAGCACGTGTAGGTGGCTCCAGGCCTTTCCCGTCTCTTCCAGCCTTGCACTATAAGCAAGGCAGGAGCCCGGGGAGCTTCCCCTCTGAGAGAAGAGGCAGCGCTCGCAGTGTGTGGAATAGCATAGCGGGGCTGATGTGCCACTGAGATCCTGACCTAATGCCCAAGTATCAACTTTATGAACTAAAACAGAGTAAGTAGGGCTTTTATTACGTAAACCAACTTCTAGTCTGAAACACAGCGCAGGATGTTGGAACTAAGTCCCAAATCTGCGGTCTCCATCCTCCTAGAACCATGAATCTGCTCTGGCTCCTCCGGGACCTGAGGTCGGTCTCCATCACCGCCTTGGATAACTTTGGGAGACGAGGTAAGAGGTCGTGCACTGGGAATCCCCTATAGATAGAGAGGATGGAGGAAGTTCTCAAGAGAAACTATGTAATTGCTGTTAGCTTGCAGGTCTCTCAGGCAAGGCCCTATATGAGAGAACAGTGTCAGGAGTGGGAAGCTCCAGTTGCTTTTGGCTGTAGTTGCAGACTATTTTCTCTCCAGCAAAATAATGTTTGAGCCAATAAGAAGAAATGTGATCCCTGGTTTTGCTTTTGACATATAGTAAGCAAAGTGCATGTGTGGATGTGTGGAAGAAGAGCAGAAAAAATGTTTGCTTTTGCTAAGGGAGGGTTCAAGGGGGAGTTATTATAAAACATTAAGGGCGTTAGTGTCTGAAGTCATCTGGGTGGGAGATCTTGAGCATACAGGAGGTCTGGACGTTTTCTGCACTCTTGGCCTCTCTCTTGGGAGTTCTGCCTGATGGAAAAAGAAACGTGTGTAAGAGGGCAGTAGGCCTAATCTTAAAAAAGGACATAAGGGAGCAAGATAAGGATTGTTAAAATGGAAGGAAGATTGATCCAGCCAAGAA